CCACAGAGAGGTGGCAGGTGAGTTTCTGCTTGCTGACAGGATCATCCACAGAGAAAAGCAGGGAGAAGGAGAAGGAAGGAAAAGATGTCCGAGCAAGGACAGGTAACGGGGGGCTCAGGCAGGTACCTCCTGGCAGGAGAGCAGAGGGTCTGGAGTAAAAGGCTGGATTTCCTGAGGATATATCATCTGCAGGATATCAAAGCTAAAGCCAGCTGCAGAGAGCCACAGAAGCAGCTTGTGATAACGGCCGGCCAGGTAATCAGGTGATGGATGAAGCTGGAAAGGGGTCCTGGGAAAGGAGCTGGGAAGAATGTGCACACACAGTGCTGAACTCTAACCCGGAGCCACTGTGGATGGTTCCCTGAAAATATCAGCTCAGGTGCAGGACCTTGGAAATATGTGGAAAGTAATAAAAAAACCACCCCAAACCCAGGAAAAATCTGATACAACGTTTCTGGGGAGGGAGCAGGCATCCCTCTGCCCGAGCTGGATCTCAGGAGCAACTCCTGCTGCCTTTCATGGAACAGCTCCCCAAGGCAGGCAAACAGGTGCTCTGGTCCCCGTATCCCTATTGAACATGATATTGCACAGTCTCCTGCATAGAAAAGTGACAAGCTCAAAGTTTCATGAGCTTTAAATTTCTTTCCTGGATGTATTAAGGGAAGAAGTGGAAATTTTATAAGTATATGAAACAACATTTAGAGAGGGCTTGTGGAAGTTGCCTGCAAGGAGGTGGAACACATCTTGGCCTTGGGTTGTCTTGTTGCCGCAGCTGGCCTCACCCCATCAGGGTGTTTGTAAGGGCAGGAGAAGCTATTTATCAAGTGCTTTGCTACCAAGGTCTTCACATGGCCATTCATGTCTTTCCAGCTGCTTATGAGTCTCTGAACTTTATTTTCCTTAAGAGCTGTTAAACAATAGTTATTGCTAATGTGGTCATCAGAGCTGACATGTTACCCATTCATCTCCTTTTCAAATGAAAGCCCAGAGAAGCTACTTCAACATCTAAACACCCTATTTTGATAACATGGTATCTAGACACAGTTTACACCAAAAGTAAAGGGACAACTGAATCTGGCTCTTCTATTCCTACATCCTAAGCTAAGGGAATCAAATTTGGGTAGCTCCCTCATACAGACAGCTGTGGCACTCACCCACACAAATCTAGGGGGGACTTGTGTGGACACGCTGAACTTTACAGTGCAGTTCGTAATAACTGCCTGACATACGATACAGAAGTGGAATGGGAGTCCCTGTCATTTTGAGATAAGTGATGGAAATGAATTACAGTTCAAAGTCCCCAGTTTTGCTCACTGGCAACATCTGGAATCTGGGCAAGGACTGTTTACAAGGGCACACAGTGACAGGACAAGGGGCAATGGCCTTAAGCTGAAGGAGTGTAGATTTAGAGTGGATATAAGGAAGAAGTTCTTTACTGTGAGGGTGGTGAGTCACTGGCACAGGTTGCCCAGAGAAGCTGTGGATGCCCCCTCCCTGGAAGTGTTCAAGGCCAGGCTGGATGGGGCTTTGGGCAACCTGGTCTAGTGGAGGGTGTCCCTGCCCAGGGCAGGGGGGTTGGAACTAGATGGGCTTTGAGGTCCCTTCCAAGCCAAATCACTCGATGATTCTATGATCTGTGCAGAATAGAGAAAGGGTTTTGTACTCCAACTAGCAAACTGCTTCTGTATCTAGGAAAGACTGTGCTCCAGCTTTGAGCCAGTTATCTAGGATATAAGAAACCCAAGATGAATCATGGAGTTTGCACTAGGAAATAAACATCATTAAAATTAAAAAGAAATAAATTATTATTAGGTTTTTATATAGAAAATTCTTTACTTTCCACTAAGGTAAATCTTGGCTGGAATTCTTCCATTTTTTGCTGTAACAAGTATAATGCGGTTGTGCTCAGAAAGGTTGGACCTCCTTTTGCTCAGAAAAGTAGGACTACCTGCTACAGAGGTAGCTGTTATGTTAACAAGAGGAACTAAAAGCAATCACATCCCAATAATAGCTTAGCTGGATTGTGTAATTGCACATGGCCATCAACTTGGCCCAAATCACTCCAGTCAGTCGGAAATTCACCTCCTACCATCGCACAATGGTCCATAAAGCCATTAATCAGTGAATGCTCAAACATGTTTCTCTTCAGGTGCTGCAAGAGTGAATGTGGTTTCTTGTTTCTCACCCTGGTGGGGCTGTTGCCAGACAGGGACCTCCAGCCTGCTCTGCTAAGACTGCAGGATCAAGAGGAGCGTGCGTACAGGAGGAGGGGAGCCCTGGGATACACAGCTTCCTTAGGAAAAAACCAACAGCGATGAGCCATCTTGCAAACAAAAAGGGTGTGTAGGAGAAAGGGAATCAATCTGATTACCTGGCACTGGCTTTCATTTCCTATCCTTAGCTTGCAGACATGCCAGGTTAAGTGAGACAGGATCAGAAGGGTAAAATGCTGTTTTTCTGTGATCGTCCAGAACGAGTAGGCAAAGGATCTGAACACAGGGACCCTGACGAGCATCTCACTTTCTAGGCTTGCAACAGCTAGAGAGACCTGGTTTTCTGTCTCAAATCCTTCAGCCTATCTCTGTTTTTATGTAATACCCATGAGAAGCTTTTAGGGCTCTGAGACAAAGTGAAACACAGAGCATGTCTATATAAAGGCATTCAGCCAGAAGCGCTGAAATTTATTCAAATTTTCATAATTACAATAGAGACCTCTGAGTTTGAACTTCTAATTCACAACAGCAGTAAAAAAGGAAATGGTGAAATGGGTTGTATTAAAGTGCAATGATGTGGAGAAAACCGTTGAAATAACACAAATGAGCCTGCGGTGAGAAATGAAAGGACAGTCTCATCCTAGCAATGACAGCAATATATAAGTAAATTATGTTACAGATAATTTACAAAATAACTTACATAGATGAAGCTGAATCTCATGTTGCCATTCCATTGTTAAATATCAGACTAAATATTCCCAGTCAGAACAGTATTATGTGGGGTAATTAAAAAGAGATCAGAGGGTTTTCTGCATTGGAAAAGATGCCTGAAGTAAAACCCTGATCGGCCTTTATATTGCAGTATTGCAAGAAACCTAAGTATTTATGAATTGTAAAGTGACACATTCAGCAGCATGAAGACTATAAATACATCTTTTACATTGATACATTATATCTACACACATATACATATCTACACACACACATATACACACAAGCACATACATGCACATAGGTGCATAAATATATGTGTGTGTATATATATATGTTTCAATTTGTACTGACCGTGGTCAGCTGCATTTTGATTGCATCTGGGGTAGGGTAGCTTTTGCAACCCAGGAGTAAGATCATTCTTTAGAGTATTTGTTGTTTAAGTTTCCTAAAAGCTGCAGCCTCTAAAATACAAAATTCTGGCATAAAGATAGACTTCAGGGCTCAGCCATCAGAGGGGCTGATGATTAACAGCAGTTCCCGTCGACATCATCTGCTGTGCTTAGTGCTTCTGAAAAATTATGCTCTTAATGTCCACCTTGTTTTTAAGTGTGTACATTGAATTCATATTGTACAAGAATCAGTTAAAAACTTCTTTTCGTATAAGTAGAAATTTTTGAGAAAAGGACAGGAATGAATATAGTATTCCATACATGCACACAGTTTTGGACTGTTTGTAAGGAGGACATGCAAAGAACGTCTGACAAGGTGAAAATTTACAACGTTGGCTTACATCATTACCTGAAACATGGCAAGTTTAGCATCACCTTTCTTTTAAAAAAAAAATTAAAATACTTGTCTGTAGCATAAACCTGACTCCTCTCTAATAAAGTTGTTTTTTCTCCCGTGCTCCCCTTTTATAGAAAATGTCATTGCTTTTTTCTCTTTGAATAAACCTGCAACAAACACTATTGACTAAAAATACGTCTGATTTCTAGCCCTCATAGGTTTGTCTGAAAAAAGGCTCTTGACCCATAGTGCAGCCACAATAGTTTCCTCTGCCTCTAACTGTATGTTAATTGTGAGAGCTGAAGGTAGCCATGCGGTTACCATTTATTAAGAAATCATTTAGTGATTAAGAACATTTGTGTTTCATTGTCCACCTGCGCAAGGAAAAAGATACTACTAAATTGCCATGGCTATGTAAACACAGTGATTTTGGTAAAGAATTTGGTTGCGAGGTCAAAATACCTCAGAAAACAGCTACTCCATTGCACGTGTTATTAAAAGGTTGGAAAGAATAAAATAATATTTTCTTTTGATGCTGTTGTGGTCAGTGAATTGGTCATGTCTGCAACCCAGTCTCTCGGGAACAGAAGAATATCCTGAAGATCCAAGCGAAGAGAAAAGGCTGGACCAACTCCTTCCTGGTTGCTGCAAGAGTCCTGTTTGCTGCATTGACCGAGGTATGTCCTTGGAGAAAGGGTTTTTTGGGGAGGAGGAATTGTAAACTCTGATTTATTTTCCTCATACCTATCCTGTACAGTGATTGCTATGTTATTAGTTTACAATAAGGATTTAGCACTGAACACATTTTGTTTGCTCACGTTCAGATCCTGGCTGTTACAAAATGATACAGTTCTGCAGAAACTTGATTGTATATCGGTGAGAAAATGTGTTTCCCCCTAACAGCTCTGCAGCTCAGACTTCAGAGCAGGAGCCTTTACAAGACCCTATTTCAAATCGTTTAACTTTTATTTACAATTCACATTCCATGCACTTTTCATTGGGATCTTCTGGGAGAACCTGTAAAAATCACCAGTGAAAATACTCAAAGCTGGCAATGCAGAACTGGTGGTTCTCCATTTGAGTCCAACATCCAGAACTCTGCACAAAATGACAAACTCCGGATTTACCTTCCATGCGGGTGGGATGAAAATGTAATATTAGCCCTTAATGTCCGAGAAGCTGGTGCTGCTGGCGTTGCAGCTATCACTGCAACTTGATGATGTGCTCAAAGTGCTGGAGGCAGTGCCTGATTCTGAGAAAGGCAAAGAAAAAAAAAACACAAGAAAATATGATATGGTGGTTGTTTTTCACAACTTTCTTTCATAACAGGAATCTTCAGAAATAATGACCTATTTATAATAAATAGCCTACCAGAGCTGCTTAAAGATTGAGCTGATTTTGAATTGCCTATGAGCATCAGCAGATTGTTAGCTGGGATCCAACCTTCTCTACCAGTGCTCAGGTTCTTCACATACCTAAAATAATATAAAAATAAAAAGTCAAATTGCTTCATTTCATGCCTTTGAAAGTTTTACCCTAAACATCTGCCTTCCAAACACAGTTCTGCGTATAAAAGTTTCCAAACACAGATCTGCGTACCAAAGTCCATCCTCCCCTTCACGAATCAGTTGAACTAGATCTCCACTTTTCACTGCAAATTCTTCAGAAACTCCTTTCTCATAATCAGTCACAACTGTATATTTACCAGGAGTCTAAATGCACAGAGGAAAAACATAAACAAATTATTTCTTGAGTAATATTGAGTAATCTAAGGTATGTTGCAGCTTTTGTTAGGAAAATTTTCGTACTTTTCCCTCCTTTCTCATGCACATATGTGCTGAAGACAGTGTAAATATACATGCTGAGAGGCAGTAAACCTTTGCTGTTCAGTTACATGCAAATTCAGTACATGAATTCTTACACTCTGAAAGACATTCAGTGAAATGTTTCCATTACAATAGTTAATTCAAATATCTACAAAAAAAATCCCAAGAAAAAAACCCAACAAACTGGCAACCTAGTGACACAATGTATGTGTGGAAGCCTGTCCACATGGGAGCTGAGCATGTCATCGCTTGACCGCTGTACCATGGCATAAGCAGTCACAGTTTCACTAGGCTGCGGCTACACGAAGGCACAGATGGACCCTCCCAAGGTACAAACACAAGGCTGATTTAAGACAAGGGGATATTTTCCATTTCCCTAGGAATTTTGCCCCGCTGAAGATTTCAAGGCAGACACTTTCCTTCCTGTAAGCTTCAAAAGCATTCCTGTATACTGCCACACACAATGCATCAGTAACATTTGCTTAGCTTAATAGGAAAGCATGTCTGGTTACCAGCTTCATCTCGCCTCCCCCTCCTCCTCCTTCTTCCTCTGCATCTGATGAATTCAGTGGATCTTCAGCACTAGACCAGCCGTCATTTTCTTCAGATGCGTCAAGAGAATGAGCTGTTTTAGCCCAACCTTGGGGAACAAAGAGCCACCGTTAACTTTGCAGCAGTGAGCCACTGACTGGGAGAAATGTTATTCCCACTGAAAAGCTCTGAAGCGATCAACATAAACAGGTGGAAAACTGTAAATGGGGAAAGTTATTACAGTCACTGGGTGAAATTCACAGCTGGCAAAAGTTGGCCTGTTTCCATCACAGTAAGTGGAGTTGTGGTAATGCACAGCAGTGAATTTGGCCCTTTGGATTTATACAGAGGGAAACAGATGGAAAGAACACAAATCCCCAACTGAAAAGAAGCTATTTCTCCCTTATACAAAGATGAATGATGGATACTCTGTTTCTTGGGAGGAGGTAGAAGACAGGAACGTGCACTCTACGGGAAGAGGATGAACACAGGGGGTTGTCACCCAAAGCAACCTAACCAGCCTGCTGGAACAGGGGACGGATGCACATAGCTTTGTTCAAACTGTTGAGCACTTAGAGCTGTCAGGAAATCCAACACGAGCTACAGGCACTCTGTACTTAACCTGATGAGGCAGCTTATTATTTAAGGGTATTCAGGCACAAGGATTACTTAATCACACTGAATTATCTTGGTGTTAAATCATTGCACCAAACACCACAAGAACAATCTCCCGCCTGTCATTTATTGCCAAGTGTTCCTTTTTCTCTCTCAGGGTGAAGCATTTCATTTATTTACAAGGCTGAATCATATCCAGAGTGCACAAAATCCTTTTCCAAATAAAACTACAGTAAGTTTTACTGGTGGGATGCTTTTCACTGAGGTCAGCAGCTGCTAATAAATGTGTTGAGCTTAAAATGAAAAAAAAAAGTCATGATAAAAAACAAATAAATATTTGTAAGTAAGATTTTGGTTCAAGCCAAAGGGTAACAACGATGAAACTCAATGAAAAGAATGAAAGGAAGAACAAACCTCCCAACTTTTATGTAACTATTGGTTAAGTTGAGAAAGCACCAGCATTTTTGCTCTTCACTGCTTCTGAGGCATTTGTCGCATGGCTGGTCATACCAGTGCATTAGGACAAAATCTGAGCATCGTCAGAGTAAAGCCAAAGCAATCCAAGAATTATAGAAAGAAATCAGACCCAGAGCACACCAAACAAAGTGGGACTTTTACCTCGCCTGCGCTGCTGGATGACCTGCACAAGGTTAGAAGTACTGACCCATTTGAACCTGTCCAGGGTTAAGAGTGAACTTCCATCTGTGAAGAAACTGAGCAATAAATTCCTGCTGTATTCCATGCAAATTTCCTTGGAAGCTCACATCTTATAGTTGGCTCATGGGACACAGCTGAAACCCTTTCTGTTATTTCCAAGTTAAGAACAATGCAACAAAAGAAAACTTGGTTTCTCCTAATTGTTCCAAAGCTCTCATTAGAAACAGAACCAACGAGTTGCACAAAAGAAAAAGAAAGTGAAATCCCTGTAATTACTCTGCCTGTTGCATCATACTCACTGGCCTGCTCATCTGGAACATTGTGGGTAACAGCTCTTGTTCCTCGGCCTCTTTCTTTTCATACATTGTGCTGATGTGGGTAAGAGCACACTTGCCTGATCCTGCCACAGCAACAGCAGTCCTACTCCTCATACAAGCTGGCACTCTACTATTAACAAGTCTGTATAAAAGCCCATCTGATCCTGGGCGGGGGGGAAGTGGTCACTGTGGCCATATTCATATCAGCTAACTACAGGCACCAAAACACTGCATGTGTGTATTCCGCACAGTGTGACTAAATCAGAGCTCCCTATAAAGGCAGGAAATGTCAGAAAATGATAGACAGTCTTGAGAAAAGGCAAGGTTCTGCAGAAATCAGCTTAGATTTGATGGTGCCAGGAAAACCAAGAATTCATTAATGGCTTCTCTTCAGAAATGGGCCCACAGGTTTCTTCACAGAGATAGGATCTATCTGCAAGATGTGATTCTGTCACCAATTCATTTTCCTTGAGCTCACTGCGATGTAAGTCGGAGTGATGTAGCAGTCAAAGGAAACAAGTGGGGGCAATGTGCTCTGCACCAAGGAGCTGTGACCATCATCTGGTGCAGTTTCATCTTGAAATGTCCAGGTCGACCGCCTGCTTATCCCTCTGAGTTAGGGAAAGAGAAGATATAAAGTGGCAGAAAAGAGATCAGAAGGTGCAAGACAGACAAGGGAGTTACTAGATGGTTTAATTTACTTGGTTTAGTGGTTTCATAAAGTGAGAGGCTGCTAGACAGGATAAACAGACAAGTCTGTTCTGAGGACCCAACAATTTTACTGTAAATTAGCAATGATCAAGGACTCTCCACCCTGGAAAATTTCAGCATCTGTGGAAAAGACAGTATGTTTTCCAATAGCATTTTCAGGCTCTCAGGATTTCCATGGTACCTGGAGATCTCAGAGGTTTGAAAGCTATTTGCAGAAAAATTAACCTTGTAACTCCCGTATCTACACTTACGGAGTTTCTGCATGCCTCTGGCCTGGGATTACACTGCCTGCTGCTCTGACAAGCTGAATGGTGTTGCATAGTTTCCCCATCACAGCAGCTGAACCTGCACTGTTTCCACAGGTGAGACAAAGGCTGTGGAAACCTGGAGAGGATGATGATGGTAGGGCTTGAAACAGCTTCATCTTTAGAATAATAGTTTCTAAAAGACATGATGGTGAAAAGAGAGGCAGGAAGAGAGGGACTGCTTTCATAGAATCACAGGACACCCTCCACTAGACCAGGTTGCCCAAAGCCCCATCCAACCTGGCCTTGAACACTTCCAGGGAGGGGGCATCCACAGCTTCTCTGGGCAACCTGTGCCAGTGCCTCACCACCCTCACAGTGAAGAATTTCTTCCTAACATCGAGTCTAAATCGACCCTCCTTCAGTTTAAACCCATTACCCCTTGTCCTGTCACTACACTCCCTGATGTAGTACCTCTCCAGCTTTCCTGTAGGCCCCTTCAGGTACTGGGAGGCTGCTATAAGGTCTCCCTGGAGCCTTCTCTTCTCCAGGCTGAACAACCCCAACTCTCTCAGCCTGTCCTCACAGGAGAGGTGCTCCAGCCCTCTGATCATCTTCACGACCCTCCTCTGGACTCACTCCAACAGCTCCATGTCTTTCTTAGTCCCTTCCTTGTACTCTCTAGTTAATTAGCCCCAGAGATTTGCACTTAAGCCTTCACCTTGCTGGTTAGAAATGCGTCATTCAACTGAAATGTTTTTTATTCTTTGCTTAGCTGTGGGTTGGGAGGACAGGAGGCAAACTCCTACAAGGGGCTCAGTTAAATTATCTGCTCTTCACAGAGTAGTAAAAATTGCCTACTATCACCCAAAGAAAGATGCAACAGGACTGTAACTACAGTAATAAATGCAGATCTAAAATGGAAATTCCACATGACAGTGATGATCCCCACTCTGGCTAGAGTACATGCATTTCAGATTTTTTTTTTTTCCTTTTTTAAAAGTTAAATCCTCTCCACAAGGGACACAGTGACAGGAGGATGCTAACTGGAAAACCAACTGTCTCATAGCAACTGGATGCCACTGTAGTTCCATTAAACATCCAGCTTCTGGTTATTACTTCAGCAGAACAGCCCTTTCCCACTGCCCTCTCCCAGAAACTAGATAGCCATATGCTTTTTCATCAATGCCAAGGTAAAACTTCAACCAGCTGTGCTACCAAAGCCAAGTATATACAGAAGCTGACAGACCCACTTGGAAAAACTCGGCTGATATCAATACCACTGCACGCAACAGCATCATACAGGTATCCCCAGTGCTGTGATGTAACATATTACATGAAGGATGTGTGAACATTTCTGGAGTACAAGATATGGTATCACTCTACCTCTTAAACCAAAAGGAGTTGGATCACTCACTACTTCATGCCGTTTAGCTTTTTTGTCAGGACTGGTAGGAGAAGCTGCAGGAGGATGAATAGGCAAAAAAACACAGAAGAGAGATATTGAAGAACTGGAAAAAAGAGAATAGGTGGATTGCATGCTAAATACCTTTGAGTTTACACTGGAAAACAAATGGATTTCTGTAATCACTCTGATTTTAGCCGTCACTGGTCAATTACAGAAGAAGGAATTAATTACCGACATGTAGTTATTTGAAGATAAATTGACATTTTTTTTTTACAGTACTAGATGAAAGTATACGTAAACTTTTCTAAATGAACTAGACATCAACTGAATACCATTAATTTCTATTTTAGACAAACATTACCAAATTAAGCAATCATTTTTATCATTTTAAATCTAGTGCTACAGCAATACCTGGTCCTGTAAGAAGGATCAATGGCAATGTCTGGCTTTTAGCAGAAGGAGATGGAGTTTCTGTCAAGGCAAGCATGGGATATTAGTGCTCACCTCATTAGCATTAGATACACAACCCTAGAGTCTCTCCAGAAAGAACTCAAAGGTAATCAGGTTTTAAAAAGGCATTCTGAAAAGATGCTTGGGAAAAAGAAAAAACAAAAAACAATCATGCTCTTGAAGAAGTGCCATCACCTTAATGCAATTCAGACTATTCAAAGACAGCTGTTCAAAGCAAGAAGTAAAATGTACCAGTGCGATTACTTGGCAGGAGGAAGCAAGAAAGGTCTCAGACTCCTATTGCCTGTTTTAGCAAAAAAAGTAAAGACCATTTCTGGAAGCATAAGGAAATTTTTTTTTTTTTTTTTTTTTTTTGTATCCAGCAAACCAACATTGTCATACACATTCTGCTGTAGTCATGCTTTGGGAGTTCAGTTAGCAAGGATGCTAATACAGAAATACTCTAGAAAACCTTGATTCCTTTTTTGCCAAGTACAAGTGCATTTGGGGCAGATCCACTGAAGCTAGAAGCAGGCCAGGTGTCTAATCTGAAGACCACTTCCTTCCTTTAGTTATCCTACAGGAATGGGGCACTATAAACTCCTTCCTTGGCCTTGACAGTGAGACTGGAGGCATTGGAAACTGCACTCCTTCCCTTGCATCTCAAACAGCTCCACTTTTCCCGGCTGCATCTCCCCCTCTCATTCTGGAGCCGGTTTCTCTTGAAATCCCCCTGCCCGGGTCAGTGACTCAGGAACATAGCTTGAAATTAGGAGAACAAACTAGTGCGCTAGTGCATACACCAAAAACCTATTACACTACACACACATAGAAAGTGATGCTTCAGTTACAGCCTTAAACAGAAAACAGTCTAGCTACTTTTTTTTTAAAAAAATTACCTTTCTGACTTTTGAGGTTAGTAAGGCCCTGCAGCGTAAAGCGCTTTTTTGAGAGTACAGAGCATTCTGAGGTAGAGCTAGTGTCATCTACAAAGGAAGAGAGAGATACAGAAAGAAAGGGGAGAAGGCGATGAAAAGATGAACGCAAAAAGTTGTTTGCAGCCCTGCCAGGAAACCTGCATGTTCGAATGAGAAAGGACAACTCAAAGTCCAGGTACAACAGAAGAACCCAAGTGGCCAGTTGTTCTCACTGTGCAGGGGCTTGTACTGCCACTGGTTCAGTAAACAAACTCCATGATGGGAACCAAAATTAAACAGGAAAAAAACCCACAACCAAAACTCTTCAGAACAGGTAATGCCAAGAAATTTATCCAGAGGAAGAAAACCCTGAGAAGCTGGGCAGCTCTAAGAGAAGAACTACTGCAGACTCGGGCCTCATAACACATAGTTCCCACCTCCTTTTGGCTACCCATCATTCGAGGTGGCTTTGGGCCTGTCCACACCACACAGAGGAACGCAGAAACCCCAAGCTAAGGGCAGATGGGACTGAGATGCTGGTGCAGTGTGGGCAGCACTTTGTGGGTGGGCTGCTTTAGGGCTGAAAGCAGCAAAGCCCTGCTCGTTCAGGTGTAATGCTGCATCTCCCTGCACTACCGTGGCTACTCTGCTGGTGGATCTGCCTGTGCATCTGCAGTGCAGGCCATGCTCTTTGCAATTAAAGATAACAATACATACGTGTAAACTCACCTTTGCCTTTCTCAGGGTACTTTGGTGCTACTGTGGTGCCATAACCTTCTAGACTTGTGAGATCAGCTTTTCTCTCCTCCATTTTTTTGATGTTTCTGATGTGGTTCCGTGAAGGACTGTTTATTGGAAGAAATTAAGACAATTAATCCATCTCCAGCAAATTTGGGTCTGAACAGGGGTGATCACCTTTGGTCACAAGCTGCCTTTTACATACAGATATATAGGCTGAAAACCATTTGGTAGCTACTTCCCAGATCATACGTTCCAGGGTTGAAGAAGTCATTGGTGACTGTGCATAGAAAGACCATGAGCACATACAAAGGCGAAAGACTCCCTTAACTGACTGCAACCACACGTACTATGGCAGTAGGAGCTACTGAAAAGACAGCTCAGGACAACTTCCACTCTCTCTCAGCTACAGGCAAACATTCTGTGCTGACAGTTTTCTCCTGAACGTACTAAGGGAAGAAAAAAAAAAATAAAAGGAATAAACTCTGCCCCTCAGAAACAGGAACAGATGAGGAATGAACCAAGAACATGGGTTGGATCTTGCAGTTGGATTCCCATCACACCTTCAATTGGGAATGGAGAAAGACATCCTACAAATATTACACATCTGGGAAATTCTCCCCGAGTGATAAGTAGATGTAGAAAACAGGCAGGGCAATAAGCTACTGATACATATTTGAGTGTACACCATGTGGGAATTACTGAAGGTATGAGCACATGGGCTTATGGGTATATACATCATGAAAAAAAGTGAATAGCAGAGGAATAAAAAGAGGTATCAGAGAAGGGCAAAACAGCTGGTGGGAGCAGAATAATATACAGGTTGGTAGGGTGAAGGATAAAAAAAACAGGAAAAGAAAAAAAGCTTGACTCAGCAGTTGGGACACAGGAGGAATCAAAACACATCACTTGGTTTAAAAAAAAAAAAAAAAGAAACTGGAGGAAAAGAACAAAGGACAGAGAAAAGATAATGCCCTGAAAAAGACAAAAAGGAGGTAACATGACATTGGAAAGGGAAGAAGAAAAATAATCCAGGTGAAGGAAAAGAACAGAGAAGGAAGGAAGGAAAAGGCTGCTCCGCATAACTCTCTTATCTGAGGTGTAAATTATATAATTAGCAGTTCAACAAGCAGATCCATAATACCACCAGGATTTTGGCTGGCGCACAAAATGACTTTTCTGTGTTGTTATCCATCAACTGGCAAAGCCCATGCCACTGCTGCTCAGTTAAACAGTTCTGGAGGTGTATAAAGTCCAAGTTTTACACGTTTATAGTAGGAAGAGACCTAAAAAATCCCTAAAACATGAGGGCTGGTATTAAGGGATAGGAGTAATGAAGAACTGCAAACTAGATGTATTAGTGTATTTACAAGACACCCAGGCTGCTTTGACAACCTACTTACCTTGTACAAGATGATGCTGGTAGAGGTAAACTCTGTGTTTGTTCTAGTGTCCTGTGCTGACTAGCTTCTGTAATGGAGGAAAGAAAAAACTAGTAACATTTATTTGTGTTTTGAGCTTTTAATTTCTACATTCCTACACAATGAAAATATACAGGTCAGGTTTTGAAGTTCAAAGAGAAAAGAGATTAAAAAAATCCATACATATCTCCAAAATATTTTACCTCTGCATGCCTGCAGTTGACTTGTCAGCACTTTTCTTATTTCATTTACCCAAGTAGCTTTAACTTCAGGGGTTGGTGCCTACCAGAAAATAAATACAAGCAACCATCAAGCATAGAGTACTTAATACACAGAGAGTTGCGTGCCAAAGCACAGCGTCGGAGGAATCCTTCAAGAGGGACAGAGTTCCCTCTCTCGTGCTCCAGTGAACAGAAACTAGTTGGGACAACTGCAACACGCTGAGGCAGAGACTGTGCATGTGCTAGAGTCAAACCCTGGCTCCCAAGCCTTCCACTACTCCAGTGAGAGCAATAGTAATAGTGTATACAATATCCTCTATGTTGTAAAATGTGATTATTTTTTTACCCCAGAAGACTCTGCAATTGAAATACATTAAGAAACTGCCTTATGAATTAATCTGGTGGGGGTTTGGTTCCCCCCCCCCCCTTTTTTTTCTACATTTCCTCACCACTGTCTATTGGTGATATAACAGAGGAAGAAAACTCCAGATCTTCTTAGGGTTAGGACTTCCCCCCGGCCTTTAATCTCTCTTTTTTTTTTTTTTTTAAATGTAGTGGCATGTTACTTACCTGTATGATGTAAACTTCTTCCCTTGCATTATACCAGATCTCAAATTTTTTTGCATCACCTTTGACATTTTCTGTTATTCCAACTGCTGCCATCTGGAAGAAAAGAGAACAAAAGGTGACCGGCCAAATTGCAGTTACAATAACAATGGAAGCAGGCAGCTATTGGTATTCTTTATTTCTGAAAAGGAAAACCACATTTGGCTTCTTGCTCAAGGAGAAGAATAACTAATAACACATGATCTGCATGTTGGAAGTAAGACATTTAGTGTTTTGTGTCAGCTTGGCTACCTCGGAGGGAAGGTTTAGGTAGATTAAATTGACGCTGACCCACAAGATGTCTCTTAAAACCCAGACCACCAAATTTTACATCTATTTTATATTATCCTACTCTGCTCATTATTACATTTTCTGTGTGATTAATGCAACCGCCATTCAGCTAGGCTAGTATGGTTTGGATTTTCCCAAAGGATAGTTTCCCCTACCCCGACTCTCTAACACACAGCAACACAAAGTGACACAGACCTGCAGCACCAGGTAGGTTTGCCTGAAAATGTGAAGCTCCCAGTGCAAAACTGTAACGCATCTTCACTGACAAAAACCAGAACATTGTATTACTGCAGGCTAAGCCCTCAGTACCTCAACCTTGCTGGACTGCTCAGTGTCTTACATTTAAGGAGTGTTTGTAGCTGTAAGAAGGTGCTTTCTCATATCCCTCTCCATTTTCTTCTCGTTTTTTACAGAACAGCACTGCTTTCTCATGGAGGAAGAGGTGTCGCTGCATTGGCTTGAAGCGTGCCAAATCTTTCACCTTCGAGTGACCCTTTTTATGATCAGTCCAGACATTGAAGGATCCCTGCATTAAAAGTTTGCCCAGCTCATTCAAGTTTCCCTGGAACACAAAAAGTGATATTTATAACTACAAAGACTAAAACACATACTCTGAACAGGTCTTTACAAGTTCTGTCGTTCCAAGTAATCTCTCACATCAGTGTTTATGTTGGGTTTGGAAAAGTAATAAAGTCAGTGTTGGATTTTTACACAGAATTTCTCTCCCCAACACTGTTCAGGCAGAATTTTACCTGAGTCAAGAGTACCAGTAGCAGAGATAGAGATCTACACACAGAGAGAAGGGGAGGCACAATACATATATTTGGTTGTTTAGGTCCATCCCCCGCCCCCCCCCAAACTCTGCTCCAAAGCTGCTCACATTGTGTTTTGTTGTTTGGGGGTTTTGTCTGGTTTTGGTTTTTTTTTTAAACTGGAAGTTTTGGGTGTAGTTTTACACATAGATATAAAAACTTAGTAATGATTCCCATTTGGCAGTAGCCTAAACCAGACTCTTCATGACGATTTTCAGTTTCTAACTCAGTGTCAAGTAGATCACAGAAAAAAAACAACCTTGGGTAGATGGAGCAAAATATTATTCATAGCAGGAAAACTTCAGAAGAGTATAGAGAGATCCATTTTGCATTCTTTTCATTACACAATTCAGTTTAAAGGCACCTTTTGTAAAAAATTCTTCTCATTATTAGCACACAGTATGGGGTATGCTGTACATATATTTAAGAAATAAATGAAAATAAATTTGAAAGACGCTAAAAATGCTGTTACTCACATCATAGCCTGTAATGGCTATCTGGTGCATAGAATCATTAACCGCTTTGAGAATACCCAGTATAGAAGTTAATGCCTCCTGAAGATCTTCAGCACCTTCGCAGTTCTTACTGTACTTCAGCATTTCCTGAGTGGGCAGGGAATGACAACATACTGGCTTAGCTTTGGAAACAGCAGTAACTAGAAACTTTCACCTTTTAACACTGAATTTGGGCTAAGTTTTTAAAGTTACCCAGTAAAGTTTCATACCATATAATCTAGTAGTTTTATACCATATAATACATATATATGGTATATATTTGGTGTGTGTGTATATATATATGGTATATATAAATATAAAATATACAATATATAAAGTTTTATATCATATAATCCAGTCAATACTGGCTGGAATTCAGAAGACCCTAAAGTTTTACTTCTCATCTCTGCTGCTAATTAGACAAGTGTATTTCGTTCATCTAGAGGTTTTGTAAACTCTGCCTAGGAATTTTAGAAGACTAACTTTGCAAACATTTTTTTCCTCATAATTGCTAAAAAAACCTCAAACCAACAAAAAAAAGGGTATTTTTTATATTTGTTACTGTTTAGAAGTGAACAAATGTAAAAACATACACAAATTTCATCTTTTATTTGAATTATGGTGAGGTCTGGGATGCTAGTAACAGACTTAAACTTACTGCACTGAGCACTGTCTACACATTTAAAAAGGCATTCCTTCTCCAAAAGGCTTATTGGTGAAGCTGCATCTTCCAATTTAATCCAGATAAACATAGCTGCAAGTTCACATGGAACCCCCCAGACTTCATAGTATGAGAATAAACATTTACTCATGGACTGCAGGCAGCAAATATACTTTAAATCAAAAACCTTTTTAATACTCCTCTCTTTACAAAAGCTTAATGTAATTAATTCTTTAAAAGCTCAGGTTTAACTCAAGAGTAAATCTGGTCCGAGGCATTTTTTTAAAACTACTGTTAAATACCATTATTGAAACGTGTGTCTATGTGGGAAATATTTCTTATTTCAAACATGGCAAAACTGTATAACATTAATTTAAAAATTTATGATAGTGTATTGTTCTCATTTTGCACTCTCATTATAGTATGCTTAAGTGAATCACAACAGCATCCTTTGTAAAAACACCATACAGTGCTCTCAGTCAAGTACATGTTCTAGAACCCAGCAAGGCAAATTCCTGCAAAATGGATGAGGCAACTATAACTGAAGAGTAACAAATACTTCAGATACTCGCTTTTCTTTGTTGCAAAGGTTTCTTGGTCCTTCTGTTTCCCCTAATCAGCTTTTCATTCTTCTCTTCAGCAGAAATACAAGGGCAAAAGCAGTTACACAAGGTGTCTCCATGTAACATTTGCCTGTCTACTAGCAGCTTTTTGGTTGAGAGAAAAGAACCGAGCTGAAAGTTCATAGACTGGGATTTGTCTCTGTTTCGATTTATACATCTGTCTGCTTTTAGGCTTCTTTCTAGCAGGCTGAGAGAAGCTACATTTAAAAAAAAAAAAAACAAACCCACAAAATGTACTTAATAGTTTAGTGTAGTTTGGTAACACATACCTTTAGCAATAGTAGCATATAGTATATATACATATAGTGTATATACACACACACACGTCAGTACTATAGTTTGGTAACACGTACCTTTAGCAATAATTGGTACTTGGTTATTCTTTGAACGGGTTTCAGCAAGTATGAGTCCAAACTGAGCTTGTGATCAAGTTTCCTTTGACATTCCTGTAATCAGTGTTGGATTTCATCAGGACACTAATCAATATTTTTCTTATTTGTTCTTGAGATAATTAAATAATAAAAAACCCCAACCAAACAAAAATCGAACCACAACAAAACCAAAACCACAATTATTTTAGAGACTCCAGCAAGCATACCTGAAAGAATACAGAATCTGAAAACTGCCTCCACAAACTTTCAGATCGAGGTTTATTTTGACAGTATTTTTCATAAATCTGGAAATCTTCCATCTGAAATTGGGGAGACAAGCAAAAAGTTAATAAATTCTTGTGACTTTAATAGACAAAGTTTGTAAGATTTTTTTTCGTAATTAATAAGGCTATGACAAAACAACAACAAAAAAGCAATTCCTTGAGGCATCCCAAGCAAAAAACAATTATTCAAAATCACTGATTTTGTAATGGCTACTAACTTTGTACTTGGAACTTCAGAATAAAATGTTGCTGTTAATTTTGCTTCTGTTGAACGTTAAGCACCTTACAAAGAAGCATATAATATATTTACAAATATATTTCTATTACAATATGAAAAATACTTCTGTGAATGCCCAACCATGAGTCCCTGTGTGCAACTTATTTTAAAAGTCTTTGCCCTTTTTCGTTATACATTTTCATTCATTTTCATTTTATGAATGTGTTTTTCACTAGGAGTTGCACTAAGGTAGACCAAGCAGTTTGTTGCTCCTTATCACTTCAGCAACTAAATAGCATGACTTCAACACTTGTTGAAAGCAAGAGGAAACAAGACTGTTGAAAATATCATAGTAACTATAGATATAAAGGAAAGACTAAGTAGGAAATCAGCAGGCACAGAAGTACCTCTGTCCCTCAGTGTTAGGAAACAGCATCTCCACAGATGTAGCCAGTAAATAGGAGGGGGAAAGATGGCTTCCCCCAGGAGTTTTAGAGCATCAATAGGTAGCATTTCCATAAACAGATTCCTATTTAGCCTTTAGTATCCTATGGGTGAGACTCATTGTTTAATAAATCCCAGATTAAAAAAGTTTAATTCTGTCATAGCTTTTTATTTTCAGAATAAAAATATTTTTTACTTACTCTGTTGAGGTGTACTCTTTAAAGAGAATAAGAAAGCAACAAAATCCAGTAAAGAAATCTAACCAAGTAAACCAACTATTTATAGTGATATGAAACAATGCAGTGCATGACCCCTCTTCATGTTTCCTTAACTGCCACTTTAATAAAACAGTTTTCTTTCTACAAGGTAGTAGCTCTTTCTAACAAAATTAATAACCCCACAAAGCAGAAAATACCCCCAACTCCAGTTAACACCTACATTCCCAAACTGTTACCTGTTTAAGAGAAACAAAGGGGATGTGGTGGCAATTACTATGTGAAAATCACTCTCATAGGTTTCAGTCCTAGAGGGGCTTATGAATGAAATGCCAGCAAAAGGTGACACATACCTGATCCAGAAAGCACCGTCCTACTAGTTCTGGGTATTCTACATAGTTTTCTAGTTCTCTCAAGAATATTCTGTGAGGAAGAAGACTGTCTTAGAGTGCATGTTAAAAGTTGTAGAAAATGTCTACATTCTCACAATTCATTTTCTAAACTTTTGGAAACAGAGTTGTAGTTTTGTAATACAAAACTAAACTCTTCTAGATCATATACTTAAAAAGTGGTAGCAAATTAAAATGAACATTCTGACCAATTCCTTTTAGCTTGCTGTTGCTACTACTGAAATCAAAGGTAAAATTGGGGAGGGAAGGGAGATTTTGTTTCCTTGCCTTATGTATTCAGCAGCAGGATTTGTACTGTTTAAAGTGTTTGGGTTTTTCCTACTGAATACTACCAAACACCACAAAGCAAACAAATGAACCAAATCCCACCTCCTCAAACAAAAAAACCCACCCAAAAAATTCAGTGGCAAAACTTCCAGTCTATTTTTGCCTGAATAAGAAACTGCTATTTAATATGCTTAACTCCTCTTGAAAACAATTCGCTTTTCTACCAATTTAAATATTATCCTGTGAAGACATAACTCTTTAGCAGCAAGGATTCAAACTTCAGATAGAGGTCACACAAGTATAAAATTAACCAACCTCAACCAGATATAAGAGTTGAGAACTTGTGGTTTAGAATAATAATTTACTTTCCATAGCAAATTTCATAAAAAAAAGAAACCCAAACCAATCTTGCTTTAATTAGCTTGTAACCAGATCCCAGTACCTTTCTCCAGGAAGAGGACCACAATGCAAAATTTTACCTGTGTACTGCAAACATGTAAATAAAGTTTCGCACAGCTTTGCTCAACTTTTATAGATATTTTGCTTTTCCTCTTCTATGCAATATGAATTTTGACACACCAGATAGCCAAGTGGGACTCAGTAAGGATCATTTAGTAATTTAAATCACATTAAAAGAAAGAGTGAAGAATCCCATCCAAACACTACTTTTAGATCTGAATGCAAAACCTCACCTGTTGTGAAAGTGATAAATTTCTTCCATATTCCCAAACAAGATATCCTTCTTATTTTGGAGTTCTGGTGAAATGAGATGAGCCATTAAGGGATTGTCCATCTCTGCAGCATAACCCTGCAACACAGGAGAGAGGCACACTGATTATCTCTCTCTACTTGCAGTACTTATCTCTCTGACAAGGCAGTCTGCCTGCAGGCTGATAGTAAAGAAAGAGCTCAGTATTAATCATGCAAAAAAGTTTACAAATTCTGTTTTTCCATCAGTCCAATAAGACACACCTATAGCCTTTAGAAAGACACTTGAATAATTACTGCAATTTTCGTTAAGAAGGATGAAACGAAGTTTGCAACCATTTCCACCAAGCAAAGGCTACGTATTCCCCTATTGCTTACAAATTATAGTTTGTACTTTTTCTGTTAAGGCTTTACACATCTGAGTTTAAAGCCACGATTACAGTACGCGCGCAAACCTTCATGCTACTCCTAGCTATTAGTATAAGGGAACAAGCTGATGGTAGCTATTTCTGCAGGTAACAGAAACCATTAAGCTGCAAATTCTATCTTTAAGACATTTTCATTGGCTTTGGTACCAAAAGTCATAACATTAGATTCTGACATCTTAGCCTCAAGAATTCAAGCATAGGATTCGGATAGGACAATGATTAGATTTTTTTTTTTTTAAATCAGAAACATTCCTTTAAAAATCTGAGTATTTTTTTCTCAAACATCAAAAAAAAAAACAGTGTAGTGAAAGATGCTGGAGCTCACAGATAGCTAACCATTGGTCCCTCTCCCATATTTCTCCTCCAAATAGCAAAATGCAGTCTGAAAGAGAAGGGAGGAAGGAAAAAAAAACCAACAAAAGGTGGTATAGACTTAAAAAAAGATAAAAAGCATTTACATAAAATGGAGTTAAAAAAAATTAACAGGGAATGAACAACTGTGGTCACCATGCAGTTTAGATGCAATGAACACATGCATGAAGAGAACGATTCATTTCCACTAGGAGTAAAGATGATGCTGAACATAGCAGCAAAGCCAAGAATAGGTTAAAGAAGGGGTACCTAACGCAGCTCAGGTGAAAACAAACCTGACAGAGCACAGTGCTTTGGAATTCTGAAAGAACGAACGCATGAAATCCATACATTGACAAAAACCTTTTGACCTTTTTTTTTTTTTACTCCAGGCTGATGCAGTACTTATTTTAAAAACTCAATATAAAAACCCTTGACGGTTTACTATGCCTGCAGTACTTATGTTTTAAGCAAGGAGAGGGAAAGCTATTGCATGCAGTCGCAGGGATCATTTAATCTTTAAGAATATATAAAGCTGTTCTAAAAGCATGGAAGTAAATGGAAAAAAGAGTTGAACACAATGCCTAAAAATAGACTAGGCCAATATTTTTCCCCAATAAAAATTACTGCCTTTCACAGACTGAGGTGGGATGACTATGGTTATTAATGAAAGAAAAACTATCAAGCTTGAGTAAGAGCAGCTATAGGAGTTTCCCAGTAATCAATCTTGGGAAGTACCTTACTTTTTTTTCTATTGGAATCCTTGGCAGAGAGAAAATGTGTGGCAATTTAATATGACATAATAATAGGAGACACTGTCCATACAAAGGAGTATCAGGTTATTTTACAAGAAAAATGGGAAGATTAATAGAATAGGAGAAACAAAGGAAGTGGGAGAATAGCCAGAACTAATCGGATAATAACTAGAATTGCTCAAAAGCTGGAAGACTGCCATTGAACCATACCTCAGCAAGGATCTGATCCAGAATTACTGTTGGCAGTCCCAGTCACCCAAGTTCAAGAGACATGAATCTTAAACTGCAAGGAGGCACACAAAAAGAATGCCTGGCACGATCAGAGCACTGGAGAGTCTATCACACTGGCAGAAAACTAAGACAGCTTGGCCTAGCGAGACAAGGGTTGTACTACAGTCTATGCAAAACAAGAATAATACCAGAGGAATAGATTCTGCAACAACCCTCCAGTAGCAGCAGTAAGGACCAAAAATCCTCCAATTATTCAAGTCTTGATTTTATGAACAGAACTGTACCGATATAACTGCATACAAAACCAGGGAATAAAGTGATCATTAAGGTCCACTCCAAACCTACCTTGCTTTATCACCGCACGTCAGATACGACCATCCTACTGTCATCAACACTTCCTAGCACTTGGACCGGACCCAGAACATAAATGCTATGGGAAGCTGAGCACAAACTAGGCAAAAGCAAGACTGGAGTTCAAAACCCTCATACAGTACTCTTACTTAAAGGTATGTACTCAGAAATTACCACTTCCAGTCCATAGCTTAAGACAGCTCATATATAGGAACTTAACATTGGCATGGACACCAAGAGTATACACTTGGCTCAATTCCAATTCATCCTGATAGAAATATTTCAGCCTCAGTTATCTGCAGCTTCATCACCTCCTACAGTCAAATTGGACTACAACAAAATGACACATGCATGTCTGAAGACTTAACAAACTTGAGGAACAACACAGAACACTGCAGCGTATTTATACAAGCAACTTGGTCATCAGTACTACAATTGTGCCTCCACAAGTGTGGAGCGAAGGGAACACCTTTGTTTCCTTTACAGTTTTGAATCAAGGTATTATTATTACAACACACTCTGTTGCCACAGTTGTATCCAAGACATTTGGAAGATGACTTAAAGATATGCAAAAAGAGATGCAAGAAACAAGTTTTCTCCTCTGACACGAGATTTTCTCAATGCAGATTCACATTCCTGTGTGACACAACCTTCCTGGAGTTGACCCATGAAACTTTTGCAGGAAACAGTGATCATCACGAATCTCACTGTGTTTAACCTAAATAGATAGGTATATCTTATTTTCTGCCCAATTTGTTTTCTAATACAAAATCCTAGTTGCATGAATATTTCCAGAAAAAAAATTGCACATTGCTGCCTCTGTGAAAAATACAATGAGAGAGGAAAGATGTAGCAGTCACAATTGTTTGACGGGACAAGCATTACAGTGATAAGGAAAGCTTAAGAGCATCCACAAAATGGAAGAGATAAATAGATTCACTAAAAGCCCCAGTAAAACTTAATCTTTACCTCAAGAACACAGAGAAGTTCTTCCACATATGCTCGTTCAGTCTCAATAAGTTCATTAATTACATGCCTGTAAACAAAGAATGACAATTAAGGCAGGCCTATTCACTTGTGTAAAGTAATGAGGCAACATTAACTTTGTCTGTGTTTCCACTTTACTTCAGACAATAAAAGATCAATTTCCAGGTAATGGAAAATGTGATGTTTCACGGATATTTCTGTCAACAGTTTATATATATCCTTATTGAGCAGTATGTATTTTCAAAACATTTTAAAATTCTCGAAAATGTGTTTAAACAGGAAAAAAGTCAAATGTATAATTTTAAGTGCTGTAACAACTGAATTGAAGCAGCGAAACATTTTATCATTGTACATACAAAATCTGGTTATGCTGTGTTTGCAAGTATTACAGGAGCTGGAGTGAGAGCTGCACAGGACTATCAAATACAGACTTAAAGTCACACCGGTCATTTTAAATTAGAGGCATATAGAGCACACTTTCAATATCACAATGCTGCTTTAAGTTTAATTTTCTTAATGGTCAAGCAAGCATGCTTCCCCCCAAGCCCATCCTCTTGTGATTTTGTATGATTTAACATGTGGTTGTAACAGTGAAAATACAGTACAAGTATTCAGTTTACAGGTAGAAACACAAGCTCTGCTATATACATTGCAGGTGGCTATTTTTTTAATATAAGTGTTGCTGCTTAGCTTTTATGTAAGAAAGTGATTTTTCATAACATTTATCAAAACAGGGACTAAAAAACAGTCAAATAAAAAGACAAAGTCTTCTGAAGCATGGAGACCAAAACTTCCGATAGATTTACAGGAGGCTTATTACTCAAAACTACGTCATCTCTGAAATGAAGATATGTAATTACCCTGCCATAGCATCACCTCTCTGCAGCAAAACTAGAGTCTGGTACTATATAAACTATAAATAATGCTGCAAACAGACTGAAACATCTTCCTCTGTGTACAGAGCACAGCCAATGCATTTCAAAAAGCACTGAGGCTTAATTCAGAGCATACTTGTCTTATCAAATCCTTAGCCAAACTCAGCCTTTGCTGGAATCAAATCAGAGAAAAGGCATTTTTTGTTTATCAAAATATACTTACTGCCGTAACACAGCTAGGTTTTCTTCATCATCCATTGTAGAGCCTCCTCTGCTTTGATGGAGTTCAGTCATTTCACTCTAAAGAAGGAAACAAACAAACAACAACAACAAAAAATCATCACAGCATCACAGATTTAAAATACAGAGTTTTGCATTCGGCTCTACTTGCATGTGTTTTCACAGGAAAGACTGTACTCCATTAAAAATGAAGGCAAGAATGCAGCAAAAAGATCCAAGTCAACCTGAAGTTCTTGAAGCACACAAGAACATTTAGACACAGGGAGCTCTCCATGAAAGGCCAGCTTAGAAAAGACCGTGGTTCGAGGCCCCTTTCCAGGAAGACAACATCAGAGCATCAGCATAATCTTGGAGGCAACACTGGCCTTAGTCTGTTTTCCAAGCTAAAAATGAAGTACTGTGCTAACTTTCTGGTAACCTCCTAACTTGACACAGAAGTTCACTCTTACAACTTCTACTGTAATGGCTGACCTAATTACAGCTTGCTGAAAAAATGAGAGGTTCTTTCAATCCCCCCTCAAACCAACCCTTTTCTCCAACTGTTGTCCCTACTGGTCATGCGGTCCTGCCTTCCTCCTTGCATTGTCTCTTGCTGAACCTCCGCTGAGTTGATTCAACTCTCTAACCCAGTGGGAAACTACTTGGTTCTGTTGCTGCTGTCAGGTTACTTTCCTTGCCGGAGGCGGGGCAGGAAGACCATCCCCACTTGGGAATGGCAACCCCTCAGGTCAGGTGAAGCTGTCTTGGAGCCAACGACAACTACCTCTTCACTTTTGCCAGTTTTAAGAGTAGCCAATTACTACTGGCAAATAATAAATGTTTCCTGTTCATAGATTTTATATTTTGCTGCCCCTAACATTTTTCTTAATATAGGCAATTATTTACTTTACCTTCCCTCATACCCAGCCCAGCAATAAAGCAGCCTCTATTTAAACCACATGACTGTTTCACCAGAGCTACTTCGATGGGGGTAATACCATCACTTTTTCAGTGGAATTGCCTCATTCTTCTTGAGGTTCGGGAATATTCCATTGTATTATGACTTTCTTAAGCAGTATGTGCATGAAAAGCCCAAAGAAAAAAAATTACCTTTCCTCTTCTGTAGTTTACCCTCCGAAGTGCACTGCTTTCTGAGTTGGATACATATTCTCTTTGAAGACCTAAGCACGTAAACCAGAATCAAACAGCAGTGAGAACTTGAGCAGATCTGACCCAGATGTTTGTGCAACCACAAATTACAGCTGAAAGTTTCTTTAAGTTTCTCAGCATAGCACAAAAAATAAGTTAAAGGCTACTACAGTTACTTACCTGGAGAGGTACAAGGAGATTTTACAAAGGCTTCAGGTCTTGGTGCAACTGGCTGAACAGGACGTGTCTGCTTGGCTGCCAGTTTCTTAAGACTTACTTGTCTCTTTTGAAACATTTCTTCCATACTTTCTTGCTTCTGGAAAACCTTTTGCACATGCTCCTACCATTGCCACAGAAACAAAAAACAAAACCAAAAAAATCCCTGTCAGAGACCTATCAACAAGCTACACTGCCATTTACAGCACATTGCTTTGAAATTGCGATTGCTTTTATACCATGTATAAAAATATTACCCTACTCTTCACTCCTAACAAGGCATAATTTACAGTCATTTAGTAGACTTAAAAATTGGAACATCACTTCATAAAACATTTTGTGTGCTTGCTGTAAAGAAACCAATGTAGTTCAGGTTTCAATTTAAAATAAAAAAAAACAGGGAAAAATTTTCTTGACAGTATCTAATGATTCTGCTACACGAAGAGATCAACCAAGAGGAAACAGACATATTCTCAAGTTCTTAAAAAAAGAAAAGAAAATAGTTACAAAGCAGAATTCATACAAATATCAAGGACAAGCACATTTTGGCCACATTAAAAAAAAAAAAAGATATCTCAAATACTCACTTGGGAGATATATTTTTTTAAAAGCAATCCTATTATGTGAAAAATTGGAAGTAGTTATTAAAACGCTCTGAAGCCCTTGATACTTATCCAAAGATATGACAGGACTAGCACCTCAGGTAGGGAAATGTGTTGGCTTTCCAGTTCCCAGGTATAACTTCTAGTACTGACTATTAGCTTTATCAATGGCCATGCAAGAGATCAATTCTAACATCAACAAATGGACACACGGATACACACAAACATCTTCTGGTACCTTTAGGTCCTCACTGAGGATGTGTGCATACTCTCTGTAAATTTTATTCAACTCCTTGATTTTATTGCCCACACCAGTGTCCAGAAATTTCTCAATCTCCTGTAAGGCTGATTCTGCACCATCCTGAGACTGACACTTGTCTACCGGCTGCGAAGCCAGCAGATAGATTCCTTCATCACACCACTTCATGGACTAGAAACAGAGAAAAGAACAGGCTCAGAATGCACCGATGTCAGCATAAAACACTAAGAGGTCTAAAACATTTCGTACCTTCATTTGTGATGTATTCACCTATTTAAGGAGAAAACTTCCAGCACACTCAGATATTTTTACCTGCCGTTATGACAACTGGTTGACTGAGGTTTTAGCAAACAAGATGGGAAACAGCTGTTCCATACAAAATTTACCTTTTCTAGTAAGCCATGCAGTTCTAGAGATTTGTTAAGAAGATTCCTCCTCCGTTCTGTCTCAGTAGCAAGGGCATCACAGAGATGATGAAGTTCACCACATTTTGGAATAATGGAGTCCACAGCATAATGATTGCTTTGAATAAAAGCATCGCCCTCTGAGGCTAGCATTCTGGCTTTTGCTATAGTTTCCTAAAACAGTAAGCATTGATTTAGGTACATCTTTTCTCAGGTCAACATCAATGAAAAAAAAAAAAAATTATACCATTTGGTTTTATGCAGCAAAATACACATGTTGCTATAGAACACATCTTTAGTTAACGGTTGCCTTGCTTAATAAATAAAAGTGATTTTCCGTCTTCCCAGATGCCCAAGAACTTTTATTCCTCCTTATCATAATACTTCAGAAATATTAATGAGTTTAATCATATGGCCTTTGTGAGGGAACTGCTCACATAAGGTCCTTCTATGCCTTAGTTATTGAGCAGCGAGTTTGTGTGCATATGTATGCAATTTGAAGTCCAGCAGCAATCTGAACCAAAATTTGAATCCACCTCAGTCTCAAGAGCAACGACCTGACTTACAGAGCTATATATTTTACTGTGAAGCACAGATCATAATAAGTTTCCCTTCTACATTGTTCAGAGTGTATGTTTCTGTTGGTCATCTTTTAACATATTGTACATTCAATACACAGCTTCTCATTTGTGAGATTTAATGAAATAAGTGGCTTTAATAGGAATGCAAGTGGGCCCTTGATCACTAAGTGCAGAACCTGGCTGTGTAGACACTTCGTGCAATTCTTCCATGGACCGATCACACCGACTTTGTGACTGGTCACTCTGCTCTTTGTTGAGGGATGCCCGAGAACTGGGCTGCTCCAATGGTTAAAGACTTTATTCCAAATTCCTTCTGTGTATTACTTGAGACACTGATTCTGCCCTGTTCTCACTTAAGCTCTACTTACAAGATATACTCAATAACCAAATACTGTTCCCCTCCACCCATGCATGGTCATACTAGAAAGTAAGGAGACTCGCAGAGTTCTTACACGTGATTTTTCTTCAAAGTTGGCAAGATCTTTCAAAATGTGTTCCACATGTGAACAGCTGTTTCCCACATCTGTGAAAGCAGACAGTCTCTCGGACACAATATCCAAAGCTGCTTTGACCTGAAATGAGACATAGCCATGTATCAATGAAGACAATTCCACAACTCTGGAGACCCATCAGTTATATAGCTGATAGCCACTGTTTCCAGCCAGGTGACTCGTATTATGGGGTTACTGGGGCAGAGAGACAAATCACATTTTTGTCAGCCCACCCTTATGCCCAATTAAAAATGAAAACAAATACAAAGAAAAGGCAGTGAAGTAATGCCATTTCCTGGTACTGAAAAAAAAAAAAAGCAGGAAAACTAATGCTCAGGAAACATTTATGATCTTGCTTTTACCAGAAAACAATAATAGAGTGACATCAACATAAACAGCAAAACATGAGGGAGAGGTCTTCACCCTAACAATTGGTTGAGAGAGAGACAGACACACACTTGTAAGAGGGTTTCTGAGCATTGCTCCCATGGAGACACAGGGGCCGTGCTCTGAGATCAGCTACACCAGAGTAAATTGACTGTAGGTGCCATCAGGCATACGAGTTAAACTAACATGAGATCAGAAACTGGCTGTAAAAACTGTAGTTGAGCCTCCACCCAGTTTCTAACAGTGTGGTTGCAACTTCCCACCCACAGTGTTGGAGACTGTTTTATAACATTTCAGCCAGAAGGCTTAGGTAAGTCTAAAAGGGCCTATTGGCAAGATGAAAGGTTTGCAGCCAGCATATTATGCTTCTGTGGTGGTGAACAGGTTTCAAAGGAGTTTTTAAATGCTTATACACTGCTGAGCCTGTGGAAAAAAAAAAATCATAAGACTGCAGAAGAGACGCTATTATGTCTCTATAGGCAAGTGTTCAAGGTAGTAAAGATAGCAGGATGTCAAGTAAGGACACGCACAAGAAAAAGATCGGAGAAAACCTTCAAGCACATGCAAGAGCTGCAAAAACAAGAGGGGGAAGTATTTTCTTCTGAATCATTTCTATATTACCAAATATTGACTTGCCATCGAGAAGTTCTCACCTCTCTAAAATTCTGTTCAAAATTCCGAAGGCGCAGACACTGCTCAAGTTTTTGCTGATGCTTAATCCAAAACTCATCAAAGGCTGTCTCCGTTTCATGTAATTGAGCCAGAAGCCTTTAAAAAAAACCCAAACACAAACCAACAAAAAAACCAAACCAAAAAACTGTAAGAATGATGGCTGCAACCTTCAAGGTACAATACAATCTTCCACAGTAAACAAAAAGCCTCCCCAAAGCATTATTTTCCAGAAAAAATAAACTGGATACAGGAAACTTTTTTGAGTATCATACAGAATTGTTTCCTAGAAAAACATTGTTGTAAAACTGAAACCAACATAAACATTAATTTCTGAAAAAAACAGCAAGTGCTGATTTGAAGCTAGCTGCTGCACGTACTATTTCTCAGCTCTGGCCTGGGGACATGGTGACCTGGGGCTAGCAAACATAAATAAAACATGCAAATGTGTGTGGCCTAGGACCCAGAGGAACCCAAGCCTTGGGCTATAAGGAAAAATTCAGGCAAAAATTCATACTGCTGTGTGTGACCAGCCAGCTGCCCTTACATTTCATTCCTCGGAGCAAGGCTCATAATAAACCTGAAGGTCATCGCTTCTCCTCTTCTGAGCAAAGTTACTACTTAAATATCACAGGCAAGCGTACAGCAGTACTACGATGAAAAGAGCCTTCTTCAATTGTAATTGTGGTGAATGCCTTGAAACTTTTACTTTTCAACTTATCTTCTAATATTGCATTTGACAGAATGGTACCCTATGGATTTATCTTTACAGCATGCTTTGCTGTACTTAGGCTGCAACCAGGGAAGGCCAAACATCAGGTTTTTAATGAACTTTTGTCTTTAATAGCACAAAGATGAACTCTGAATTTACAAGTGAAAACTGATTTAAAAAAAACAGTCCAGGGGACACTCACACAGAGTTTGTTCCAACTTCCATCAGATATTTTATTGAGTGGGAACATTTTGGATAAATTAGCAACCTCCACCCCAATTGTCCTTCGGATAGCCGATAGCAACACTGACCAAAAAAAGTGACTTCTGCCAAGCTTTGTGGATTGGAATGGACAGTTATTTGGAAGGAAAAGTCAGCCCAAGTGTAACAGAAACAGGGAATGACAGACAAAAAAAGAATGCAGAATACTGCCTGGGGGAAATGAGCTATGCTTTCATAGCTTTGTGCAAATTTACATCTGTGCTATTGTGATATAATGTCTCCAAAACTGTCAGTAATCTAAGGGGGGGATGGAGGGGGAGCAAAGGAAAGCAACATCTATTACTTATATGCCCAAAGGAAGTATATAGGAAGTTTGTGCATAGATACTTCAAGAGCGGTGTACTCCCCAGTAGCCTTTTAAAGGCTACTAACAACAAGATATCAGCAATATTGGAAGCCCCTTCAGGCAGGTTTAAAGAAAAAGAAACCTCCCACTTCAATTCAAAAGGACTTAATGAAAGTGGACAAATCTACTGAAAAGAAGAGAGGTATCACTTCTGCCTTCCCCTCCTGCAAGATTTCCTTGGATTGCACTTTAGTCTCTAAACAAAGCATCGATATTCTTTAAAATAAGAAAAAGCTGTTCAACTATATCTGACAAATCTGACAAAAAAAGAGAAAAAAATAACAGCATTGCTTTGTTGGTACTGAAACTCAAACCTCATCCCCTATTTCCTTACATCCAGGTGACCCAGTAATGAACATGAGGGGTTTACTTTGCTCAGGGCAGATCTCACAGCAGGAGCTGTTTCTGAAAGTACCTTTTATATGTTCACACTGTAATGTTTGCTTTTTGCTAAGCATGCGTATGGAATTAAGTAAAAGAACTGGGAAGGGGTCAAAAAACCCAGAAAAGCAGCACGTCCAATATTTCGCTCCTCTCACCTTTCTACCGTTGTTTGATTGTCTAGCTGATCTTGATTCAGTTTATATTCAGGATTCTCAGTAACTGGTTTTGTAATACTTCCAAGGATATCGTCTCCCTGTTCTACTGCTAACCTGATATCCTCCTACAAAACAAAACAAAACACCCACACACTCTAGTTGTGTGATGCTGTTTTTGTTTTTTTTAAGCAGACTTCATAAGGCACCAAACTGGAAAAAGGATTTTGTTTTAACACCAATAGAGCAAGCATAGTTTGATTAAAAGCAGTGTTTGACAACAAATACAGACAGTAGATGCTAAACATCAGCTTTTTCTATGTTTACCATCTTAAGACCTCAGTGTAACCGAGTTGAATTTTCATGATAGATTGCCTTCTAGCATCTCCTTAGGCTACAAATATCTCAAAAGTTTTAGATGCAGTTTACAAACCCCGAATAGTTTTCATTTAAGCCAATTTGAAAGAACGTTTCTCCGTACTTCAAAATGGTCATGTATTTTCATATGCATGCAAATACAATTTCTTGTTGCAAACAAAACTACAACTTAAATACACCACTACTTAAAGGAATTTCTGTTTCCACATACAAATTATTATGCATTTGTACATAAGCAAACTTAGCCTCAAGACATGTAATTTTTGAATGCAAAAAGGATTTTTAACATCAAACCAAGCAAAACAAGTTCAATAAGATTTCAATGTTTCACATTATTATTGTCTATTAACATTCTCCAGATTTTCTATTAATATTATTAGCTATAAATTAAAACACAGTTTAAATAGAAGACAGCATCTTTACAAAAATTACATACCTTCATTTTGTCCTTCTTTTCTGTGTGTGCTGCAAGAAGGGAGCTGGTTGATTGCACATCATTTGGTAGTTCTGTTTCAGCCAGCTCAGTCCCAAAGGACTGAAGAATCTGAGCTGTTTGCTTAACCTTTTGGGCGAAACCTTCTATAGCCTTTTGGAATAAAAACCATTAATGATGTTTCATGCTCATCACATGCATATCTATAAACAGACACATACACACAAAATATAACTCACAAAACAAACCCGAGCAGATGAATTACGAGACTGAAAAATGGCAAAGTATAATTTTGCAAGCAACAGATACCGTCACCATTAATTCCTTAATTGTATGTTTTTCCTAGGTTCGTATCAGGTATATCTTCCTCATATTTTTTATAATCTGGAGTTATTCTACAACTTGAGCTTTTTCTTTCTCGTAGCAAAACCAATAAACCTCAACACAATAATACACTGTAGCTCCTTTGCTCCCAGTGTTCAGAAAACCACTCCCGAATTATTACTCATATTTTTTTCTCTAAGATGACTAAGTACCATGGGGAACATCTTCTCACTCCGAGCAAGTCAACTTGCATCACTTGGAATCTGTTTTATAAATGACAGGGTACAAAACAGAAGGGTTCATTAAACTTGAAAAGTTGAAACAAAAACTTAAGACTTACAGTGCGACGGGACAGCCATCTGTTATGGCAGTAATCCAGGGTGCCACCAAGATCTTCTGTTAATTGTGTTTTATCAATGTAACCCTGCAGTTCTGATACTGAGCCCAGCATTATGATCTGCAGCAGCAATGAAAAAAGTGAATGCGAACAGTGGTGAGAAGTCCCTTATTAAGGACTCTAACCCCATCCTTCAGCCTCTGATAGAGAAATTTCAGTTTAATACAGAAGCAAGTGATGGAACTGTTTCCTTTGGGTATAGAATAAACAAACTTAACAGTTGTTTCAGTTGAAGATGATGTAAATTTAAATAACAGCAAATGAGCATGAGCACCACACTTAACAGTGCATATTAAAATAAAGCTTACAAATTATACAACATAAATGACTCCATCGGGGGTTTTTATCTTGATAAACCATACATGGCTATTTTCTAAGATGAACCTTTAACTCCAGATTTAAGAACTACCTTTAAGCATGGGGGTTTTTGTTGGTTTGTTTGGAGTTTTTCTGTGGTTTGTTTTTTGGGTTTTTTTTTTTGGGGTGTGTGTGTGTGTGTGTGTGTTTTTTTTTTTCCTCGCTGGCTAGATTAACTATTTTAACAGATCCCTGATAATAAAGTGAAAACAAAGGATTACTTACAGGTACTTTCATTTTAAACTCATCTTTGTTGAACTTGAAAGCAATGTCTGAGAGAGCTCGATGAAAAAATCCTGTCGGGCGCAGAACAAGGACTAGCTGCAGGTTTCCTGGGAAAGATGCCTGCAAAACAAGTTTAGTCTGTTATTTTCTGTGTCTCAGCTCCAGAAAATATTTCTGAACAAGGAGAAGCCTCTGTTAAACCACAAACTAACCATATCAGAGCCCTCCCGTAATGGGGTGAGAATTATTGACTTCACAAGGCTTGCACAGAGAGCTTCATTCAAAGAGACATTTACTCATCTTTGGCAACAGGAATCTATTCTCCTGGAATCTAATTTTTCAGGACTGGCTTGTAAAGCTCTTCAGCTAAGATCATATCCTAGCCAAGGAGGCTAATGAACAAACAGCAGTGGCTTAGTACTTTTTTTAACAGTGGTACTTTCACCTTATCGTCTCTTTAGTAGAGGGTGCCAAGAGAAACCCCCTTTATTGTCTGAACACCTAACAATGCTTCTAATTTGCACGTATACTAACCCTGCCAGTTGCCTACACAAACTATTGCCACCAAGACTGAATTTCTCACCCAGTAGCTCAGAAATAAGCTTTAATTTTGCAGACAAAAATAAAAATAAAACGTAGTAATTCTCAGCTGTGGTTTTTCTCATCATCTTCCAACTAGAAGTCTGATGGATCTTTCCCAATTCTACAAGTGATAGAGGGAAAACAGAAGAGAGGAAAAAAAGAGCAAAGAAATAGCATTAAATTACTAAAAATCAACCACTGCTGTGGCAGAGGTTTGCATACTTGGCATTTAGCCATTCTTGAAATCATGCAAGTCATCTCCTCTATTCAGTATTTCCACTGCAGGCAGGCACTGAAGCTCACTAAAGAAGTTATCATTATAATGATTAAGTATGCAATTTTATTCATTATACTGTTAAAAATTATGCCACATTTCTAGCAAATTGAATTAAAAAAAAAGCCCAAATCAGCCAACCAAAACCCAAACACTGACTGAAGCTGTTAAGCTATGCTCTGTTTCCATGTCTGGTTGGAAAGTGGTTTAAACTCATTTTAAGATTTCCAAGGGTTCCAACATTGGAAATGACAAACTTTTAAGGAGAAAAGTAGCTAAAACTTAAGACTTCACAGATTCATTGTGTACAGATATTCAGTGTACAACTGAGATCTCCAATTGACTGAGGAACCTTAAAGACTTGAGCCTCACAATCTGTTTTCACTTCAGCAATGTCCAAATTTTCTAGAAAACACGGTGGTTCAGTCCCAAAGGAGTCTGTCCAAGGGCTGGGAACAGAATCCAGGTAATTCTGAGTGCCCACATCAGCTCCCCATCCTTGCACTGTAAACAATCTTTCTATGTGTATTCAAAGTAGTACACCCTGTGGACTTACTAACCCACAGTTATCAAACAGAGGAAAAACTTGTTATAGAAAATTCCTGATTGTACTCAGAAGCAAAAGTTAAGAAAAGATTATTTTAACTATTTTTTTTTCTGAATTATGCAACTGCAAATTTATTTAATTCTTTAACTCATACGAAGAAACATTGCAAGAATGGACAAAAGAATTTTTTTTAATTAAATCTCCTAAATAATCTTTTTAGAATGATAACTATGTAGTCTATCCATTTAGACATGTGTCAAGTTATTTTTTGCCTATAACAGCAGTTTGCACACTCTGACCGAGCTGTTAATTTTCACCTTCAACTTACAAAATGTGAAATTTATTCAATGGCAATATCAACATTTCAGAAGAAAAAGTTCCAAAAAGCAGTATCTTTTAGATAACACATTTTGACAAAATAATAGGTGTTCATGTGAGATATCCACCCCAGCAGATGATATCCAGACATATTGTCTTTGGCAGGGCTTGTTTGTTACCCATTTGACCTTACCTAGAATACCAGGAAAAGGTTATCGTGTTAGCTTCAAGTCGAGTAGATACATTAGAAACACACGATGGCATGAAATGAAGCAGTGTGAAAGACACTGAACAGTAAAAGTAAACTTTAAGTTACATGTACAATTAATAAATTTCTTAATTCTAGCTTTAAATTCTCAAATTCTCACTTTTACACTTTGTGAATGTAGTGGAGATTTTTACTGCAGAGTTTTAGAGAAAATATCCTGAAACGGATCTGGGATCCTGGTGGACAACAAGCTAAACACAAGTCAGTAGTGTTCCACTGCAAAAACCAAGGCAAATCAGCCCCCAGGCTGTATCCACAGGGCCACGACTAGCAGAGATAGAGAGGTGATCATCCTGCTCTACTCAGCATGTGCCCAGCTGCACCTGGAGTACCGTGTCCTGTTCTGTCCCCACAACTGAAGAAAGATGCGGGCAGACTGCAGAGGGTCCTGAGGAGGGCCATGAAGATGATGAAGGGACTGGAGAACCTCCCCTATGAGGAGGGGCTGAAGGAGTTTGGTCTCTTCTCCAGGGAGAGGAGAAGACTCGGGGGATCTCATCACAGTATTCCCGCCACCAATTAAGGAGTGGCAATAAAGGGGACAAAGGGTCTCTCTTCACAAGGAGCTACATGGAGAAGACAAGGGGCAATGGGTACAAGTTGCACCAGGAGAGGTTTCATCTCAATATAAGATAGAAATTATTTTACAGTGAGAACAATCATTCACTGGAACAACCTCCTCAGGGTCGAGGTAGGGTGCCTATTGCTGGAGGTTTTCAAGATGTGCTTGGACAGGGTGCTAGATAATCTCATCGAGGCTCCCTTTCCCCACGAAAAGTTGGGCCAGATGATCTTCTGAGGTCCCTCCCAATCCTCCCAGGGAAGTGATTGCCCCATTCTACACTGCACCGGTGCAGCCCCATCTGGAGCCCCATGTACAGTTTGTTCAGCTCGGAGAAGAGAAGGCTGACCTCATCGCAGTCTACACCTTCCTCAAGGTGGGCATTGGAAGAGGAGTGCTAATCTCCTCTCTCTGGTGATCAGCGATAGGACACAAGGAAATGTAATGAAGCTGCATCAGGAGAAGTTCAGATTGGACATTTAGGAAAGGGTTCTTCACTGAGACGGTGGTTGGTCACTGGAACAGGCTCCCTAGGGCAGTGGTCATGGCACCAAGCCTGTCAGAGTTCAAGGAGCATCTGGATGACGCTCTTAGTCATACGGTTTAGTTTTAGGTAGTCCTGTGCGTGGGGAGTTGGACTCGATGATCCTTATGGGTCCCTTCCAACTCAAGATATTTTATGAGCCCAGGCTGTCATTCAATGATTCTATGATATTTAGACTATTACTGATGCAAACAGTAGTAGCCAAATGCAATGCAATAGCATATTTTTCTAAACTGTGTATTAGCTCTTATGAGATACAGAGTTTAAGTGCACGACCAAATTAAGTAGGGTCTCTCATTAATGTCCAATTCAAAGAAAACAGATAGAGAATACTGTTGTGGTTTTGCCCTAGCCAGTAGCTAAGCACCACACAGATGCTTGCTCACCCCTTCTCCCACCAAGGGGATGGGGAGAATTAAAAAAACCCTCATGGATTGAGATAAAGACAGTTTAATAGGATGACAAAGGAAGGGAATAATAATAACAACAACAACAACAACAACTACAATAATAAAACAAGTCATGCACAAATGCAATTGCTCACTGCATGTGGAAGGAAAAAAAAAATCCCAACCCCATGCCCAGTCTGTTTCTGAGCAGCGATCCCGCCTCCTGGCAACTTTCCCAGTTATATAGGGAGCATGATGCTATACGGTATGGAATATCCCTTTGGCTAGTCTGGCTCAGCTGTCCTGGCTGTGCTCTCCCAGTTTCTTGTGCACCTGGCAGGGCATGGGAAGCTGAAGAGTCCTTGACTTGGTGAAAGCACCACAACTACCTAGCTACAGCTAAAAACATCAGTGTGTTATCAATGTTATTCTCACACTAAATCCAAAACACAACACTATACCAGCTACTAGAAATAAAATTAACTCCATCTCAGCCAAAACCAGGACAAATACACATTACCATTTTTCTCCATCCTAGTGGGGCTACCCAAAATGATGCTGTTGAAATCACTAGTCTTGTATCATCTAGACTAATTTCCATTCAAGACTTGCCAGAAGTTTTCTCAACCTCTCGGCAAAAGCTCAAATTCTAGATTATTCTGTTCACAACGCTGTTCTTGTCTCCACTAGCCTGTCTCTTATAATTCTCAGGGTTTTTTGGGGGGGTGGGTGTTTGGGTTTTTTCGTTTGTTTCCTCTCCCCCCCAAAAAAAACCCCCAGTCTCAAAAAATGATGCCTTCTCTGCTTGTCGTGGCTAGGAGTCAAATCTGCAAACTGACCTTTGTGAAACAACAACAAAGGGGAGGATTGCCACAGTAAACAATGCTGGACCAGTACCAGCTATTCCAGTTTATCTGAGCTTGTATCTTCACTGCCCCAATATTACTATTTTCCTAATTTTTTTCTTTCTAAAGCCCTAGTGACTTGTGGAGACAATGATATGATGCAAGAGACACTCCTAGATGCGTTTGAACTTTATCAACCAGTCAACTTCACCCTGAACAAGAACCAACAACAAATCTCCATTCCAGTTCAGCAGCATATTTGTTTGAAGCCACTGTATGCTAAGCAGGCAGAACAAACAATGACTTCTCAGCAATGCTGTGCCAAGTGTTAAGCACAAAACTAATTATTCATGTATGCTTAGAAGTGTCATAAAGTGCCTTCAAGGACTGTTTTAGTGAAATCACTCAACATCCCTGTGACTTGAAGAAGGGTTTGTGTGCTTGAAAACTGTTTTTTTCCAGAAGAGTCTTATTTTTTTTACTAGATTAGTTAATATTAACGGCTTTCCCAATCTCTTGGCTCAAATATTGCACTTCAACTCATTTAGTGTCTATGCAAAAGAGACCAGTGGGGAAAAAACCCCTGTTGTCATATTTTTGGTATCCTCTATGAACGCTAGGGTAGCCCCTATTCTATTCTAGCTTGACCCATATATTCCTTTGTCTCGCATCAGCACTGGCACTTGTTTGATACTTCATGACACTTGTGGTATTAGTTTTCTATCTGCTTATCTCCTTCACTTCCCCATCCAGTCAGGCCAGTGCGGATGGCAAAGATACAGAAAAAGATG